GAGTGGTGGATTGATTCTGGAGCCACTCGCCATTTTTGTGTTGTTAGGGAAGCCTTTACAACATATGCTCATGTTGGACTCGAAGAGACTCTTTCTATGTGAAATGCTGCAACCGCCAAGATTGAAGGATGTGGGAAGATCTTTCTGAAGATGACTTCTGGCAAGGTGGTGAGCAACGTCTTTCATGTTCCAAGATTAGGAAGAATTTAGTCTATGCTGGACTTCTTGTTAAGAATGGTTTTAAGTGTGTTTTTGTATCCGATAAGGTTGTAATAAATAAGAACAAAATTTTTGTAGGAAAAGGTTACCTCACTGAGGGCCTTTTCAAGCTGAATGTAATGGTTGTTGAGAATAATAATCAAATTTTAGCTTCTTCTTACTTACTTGAGTCAAATGAATTATGGCATATACGTTTGGGTCATATCAGTTATAAAACTTTGCGGAAAATGATTAACTTGGAAGTATTGCCTAAGTTTGAATGCGACAAATCAAAATGTCAAAGATGTGTGGAATCTAAGTATGTTAAACATCCTTATAAGTCAGTTGAAAGGATTCAAATCCTTTAGACTTAATTCACACATATATTTGCGACATGAAGTCAATACCATCTCGCGGTGGAAAGAAGTATTTCATAACTTTTATTGACGATAATATATCGATATTGCTATGTTTACTTACTTAATAGTAAAGATGAAGCAATAGACGCATTCAATCAATACAAAAATAAAGTTGAAATGCAACTTAACCAGAAAATCAAAATGATAAGAAGTGATAAGGGTGGTGAATATGAATCTCCTTTTGAATAAATATGTTTAGAATGTGGAATTATTCATCAAACAATGGCCCCTTACATGCCCCAATCCAATGGGATTGCTGAAAGAAAGAATCGTTTGTTGAAGGAGATGATGAACGCATTGTTGATAAGTTCTGGGTTGCCACAGAACTTTTGGGAGCAAGCCGTTCTTATGGCTAACCGGATACTAAATTGAGTACCCCATAGCAAAACACAATCCATTCCATATGAAAAATGGAAAGGAAGGAAGCCCATTGAATTATTTTAAAGTGTGGGGGTGTTTGGAAAAAGTTCAAGCTCCTAAACCCAAAAGGTAAAAATAGGATCGGAAACCGTTGATTGTGTTTTCATAGGATATGCGACCAATAGTAAAGCAAATCGATTTCTGATTCATAAATCAGAAAATCCTGACATGCATAATAATACTGTTATAGAATCAGATAATGCTGAGTTCTTTGAAAATATATATCCGTATATAAAGTAATGTGCGTCGCTTGGTGAAGGATCTAAACGACTTCAGGAAGAAACAAAAGAAAGTACATTTAATCATGAGGATCCAAGACGTAGCAAACGTCAAAGAACGTCTACTTCATTTGGACCAGATTTTGTGACTTTCTTATTGGAAAATGAGCCTCAAACATTTAAAGAAGCTATGTCTTCTTCGGAATCATTATTTTGGAAAGAGGCAGTCAATAGTAAAATAAAATCCATATTGAACAACCATACATGGGAATTGGTTGATCTTCCTCCTGGAAATAAACCTTTGGGTTCTAAATGGATCTTGAAGAGGAAAATGAAAGATGATGGCACTATTGATAAATGAGCCTCAAACTTTTAAAGAAGCTATGTCTTCTTCGGAATCATTATTTTGGAAAGAGGCAGTCAATAGTAAAATAAAATCCATATTGAACAACCATACATGGGAATTGGTTGATCTTCCTCCTGAAAATAAACCTTTGGGTTCTAAATGGATCTTGAAGAGGAAAATGAAAGATGATGGCACTATTGATAAATTTAAGGCAAGACTTGTAGTCAAAGGTATAGACGACGAAAAGGTCTTAACTACTTTGATACATACTCTCCAGTTACAAGAATTACGTCCAGACGGATGTTGGTAGCATTAGTTGCAGTGTATGGTCCTCAAATTCATCAAATGGATGTTAAGACGGCCTTCTTGAATGGACATTCGGAGGAAGAAATCTACATGGAACAACCTTAAGGGTTTCTGGTTCCAGGTAAAGAAAATAAGGTATGTAGACTTGTTAAGTCCTTTTACGGACTAAAACAAGCACCCAAACAGTGGCATGCGAAATTGGACCAGATAATGTTGTCAAATGGTTTTAATATAAATGAATGTGATAAATGTGTGTACATTAAAAATGTTCCAAATCACATAGTCATTGTTTGCCTATGTGTGGATGGTATTGCTGATAATGAGTAATGACATTGCCAATATAAATGCTACTAAGCGTATGCTAACTATCAAGTATGAAGAACTTGGGAGTTGCTGATTTAATTGCAGGGATAAAGATCCATGAGACTCCTCAAGGTCTGGCATTGTCACAATCTCATTATATTAAGACAGTACTTGAAAAATTCAAGCACTTAAGGTTTAAAGTTGCAAAGACTCTAATTGACGTGAATCTTCCATTAGCAAAGAATAAAGGCCAAAGCATATCACAGTTGGATTATGCTCGTGTGTTGGGATGGTTAATGTATATCATAAATTGTAAACGACCAGATATAGCTTGTGCTATAAGTAAATTTATTCGATACACGAGCAATCCAGGTCAATCTCATTGGATGGCAATGAAACGAGGTTTGGGATATTTAGAACATACCCAGGGCTTTGCTGTGCACTACAGTAAATATCCTGCAGTGATTGAGAGATACTGTGATGAAAATTGGATCACCGGTTCAACTGATTCTACGTCCACAAGTGGATATGTATTCACTATTGGTGGAGGAGCGGTATCTTGGAAGTCATCCAAACAAACTAGTATTGCCCGCTCTACAATGGAAGCTGAATTCATAACCTTAGATAAAGCCGGTGAAGAAGCTGAATGGCTCCAGAATTTCTTGGAAGACATTCCATTTTGGACCAAACGGTTGGCACCAATATGCATACATTGCGATAGTCAAGCGGCAATTGGAAGGGCTGGAAGCGTTATGTATAACGACAAATCTCGTCATATACGACGAAGACATAAAACCGTTAGGAAATTACTCTCTAAAGGAATTATCACAATTGACTATGTAAAGTTAAGCGATAATGTGTCGGACCCACTTACAACAGGCCTAGCTAGAGAGGTAGTTGAGAAATCATCAAGGGGAATGGGACTATGACCGAGAACAAGTCATTATGGCGGTAAGTCTACCTAGAAGACTGGAGATCCCAAGATCTAGGTTCAAGGAGATCAAACAAAGTCATTAATGACGGTTCAACATTGTCAACTAAAATTTTGGTCCATTCTCGTGACGTGACAATGTTCAGTACCAAGGATAAAGCATTAAGGCTTTTTAACAATTTTTAAATTTAATAAGGGGTATATCAAATAGTGTATCTATGGGATGACACGTTTAGGAATCACCTATATAAGTGTGAAGTGTTAGACGCTTCAAGAAGAATTTGTAAGGCCAGTTCTTTACGCACTTATGAAACCAGGCGGTATTCATGGCTGAAACGAACACAACAATGAGAACCAAAGATGGTTAATTAATCCTTGCTTGCGAATCGCACAGTTTTTCATGCATATTTCCGTGATATAGCCATTCCCCATTCATGTGAGGGATTGTTGGGTTTTTTTAAGTATATTAACGCATAAAAGAGGGTGAACGGGAAATGGAGGAAAAATAAAATATTTGAGTTTCATTTGAGATTTCCTCCTTGATGAAGGGACATTGTCCCATATTGGAAGAGGAAGAGGTTTTTATGGGTATATAAGCAATTGCTCTTCTTCTAGCTCTTAAAGAGTTGAGAAGAAGGCAAGCATCGCGCCATCGTCGTCGTCGCTCGCTTGGCTCAGCTTCGACTTCAGATTCGGATTTGGATTTGGATTTGGATTGATTAATTTTTTGGACCAAATTTATTTATTAATAGTAAATATTAATACAAATGTTATTAAATATTCATTTTAATAATATAATATTAATATTAAATACAATAATATTAATAATAAATCCATCCGTTTTCCATTTTTCCGTTTTCTGTTTTTGTAATAAAAAATTAACCACCCTCTTCAATTCTCCTGGTTTATTGTTGAGCAAATAGCCATTTATGTTATGGCATTTATGCTATGAATGTTTTTCATAAACAGCCATTCTGAAGAGTTGCACCCCTTCAGATTTCACTCTAACATTTGCTATAAATACAAGTCCATTCTCTCAGAATTTCCATACGATTTTCTGAGTTTCTCCTCCTCTTCTGCATTGTTTTAACTTCAAAGAAAGCAACAGTAAGTGTGATTTGCTACCGAACTTTGTGTTCGCTGAAACACTGGGATTTGAAGTACCACTACACCAGTGTGTAATTCGTTCTATACTGGGAGGAAATAATCCATAACCTTGGGTACTAGGAGGGGATTAAATTCCTTAAGGAAACACTATGAATTCAGTGGGCTCGGATTAACTTTTGTTTTGTTTATATTTTCTGTTTATATGTTGTTTTATCTTTTCCAGAGTTAGTTTACAAATACAGTTTACTAACAATAGCTACATTCCAGTTGTCATGAACGACTGTCACTAATAAAGAACTTGAATTAGCTACGTACTCCGTCACTAATGTTTCGCTAAATCGCTTGTGCTAACAGATTTTCTTGAAATTTGTCATTGATCCGTCGAAAAATAGGATTAGCGATTGATTTTTTTGTTTATTTGTCCGTCGTTAATTCCTATTTTTAGTAGTTTACGTTTGTTTAAATTTGGAAAGCAAATCAAAATTGAAAAAGAGAAAACATTAGCATGACGATATCAACTTTATGACAAACAACTCCAAATTATAAGTTGATCCAAAACCTTCTCAACTGCCTCTTTCCCACCTGAATTTCAAATTAGTTAGAAGCTTTCTTCTTTCTCCATCTGTCTTTAAATTCTCATCGTTTTGCCCACACACTACACATTCCATAAATATAATTCACCTTTGCCAACCCCCAACAAATCAGGTTACGTACTATAGAAAGATACAAACTATACATTCAGCCCAAAGCTTAGTTTTTTTTCTTTCTATTTTTGGATTTGCACACAGTATCGCCTTTTCTGAGGTCGCTTCCGACGTGTAGGATTAAAAAGGACATTTTTGCAAATGCCTCTTTAGTTTCTTTTTTGTTTCCTTTGCTTAAGCTTCTCGTTCCACTTCTTTCAGCTGTAACCATGATATTTGCTTATTTCTCCCTACTGATTTTCCTCTTTTTGCAATTACTAATTTCAAGTTGTGCTTCTATTGGTTCTAACTTGCCAAAATCGGATGTGGATTTATTAGAATTTCCTTTGAATTTAGAGTATATGGAAGCTGAATTTTTCTTGTGGGGTTCTTTTGGCCATGGATTGGATAGTTTTGCACCTGAACTTGCAGATGGTGGACCGTCACCTATTGGGGCTACAATTGCAAAACTCAGCCCTCTAATTAGAGATGTCATTGCTCAATTTGGATTCCAAGAAGTTGGTCATGTCAGGTAATTATCGTATCTTTTTTAAACAGATTAAAAAAAAGGAACAAATATTATTTTTAACCCGCACCAGAAACTAAGCCGAAAATGTGTATAAAATTTGTATTATATTTGTATGTTTTTTTACTATTATTTTGAAAGTGGCTATATAATGTTATTTTTCCTTTAAAAAAGTGTAATATAAAATAAGACAAAAGGTTTATTGGATTAATAAAATATTGAGAAATTTGTTTGAATCATTCACATACATTCAACTTTTTTCAAGTAAAATTCATACTCAAACATAATTTCAACCTCAAAATACTTTTATCAGTGTCAATTTCAAATATTCTTTATCCAACTCAACCAAATAGTGTCCTACTATGTTGCACAGATTCTTTAAAAATATTGTCATGCGCATGTCGAATCGTTGAAAGATACACTATTTTTGGAGGACTCAACATATACCAAGGGGTGGATTTAGGGGGCGGAAGGGGGTTCTCGAACCCCCTTTGCCGAAAGCATATCTTAGTGGTCAAGGGGTTCAAAACTTTTGTAAGGTTATTGGTTCAATTCCCAGTAGGTATAATTTTTTTTAACTTTTTTTCTTTTTGAACCCCCTTAGCGAAAATCCTGCCTCAGCCACTGCATCCACCCGACAATATTTTTAAAAGGTCCAAGCAACATAGGTGTCGAGAGACATACACCTCTTCTTCAATAGTTGATTTAGAGCTTGTTTGGTTTGGCTTAAAAAAAAAGGCTTTTCAGCTGAAAAAGGTTTTAACCCAAAATGCAATAAGTTGGGGTTGCCCACCTTATCGGTTTTGGCTTGTTTTAAGTAGTTTTTAACTTATTCAAAGCTGTTCTTTAAATTTATCAAACATGATAAAAGCTAAGAAAAGCTTAAAAGATTATTTGACAGGGTTAAAAACCAATCCAAACACCCTCTTAATTTAATATATAACGTCTATATATCCAAATTTAAAATTTCGATAAAATTGATATTGCAGGGCAATCAAGAATACAGTAGCAGGATTTCCAAGGCCACTGCTAAATCTAAGCAGAGAAGCATTTGCTACAGTTATGAACGATGCATTTGGACATAAATTTGAACCACCTTTTAATCCTTATGCTAATGACATTAATTATCTCCTTGCTTCGTATGTTATCCCTTATATTGGACTTACTGGATATGTTGGAGCCAATCCTAAACTCCACAGCCCTACTGCCAAAAGGGTAATTAAATCAAATTACTCTCTGAACTAGCACAACTTTTAAGATAATATTATTATCTTTGTTCCAATTTACATGCATGGCATGCATTATTTCAATTTTAGAAAGTTGCAAAACATTTGACCATCATTTTAAATCTATACAATTTTCAAGAATTGAAATTTTAGCTACTTGCAATGCCATTGTCTTCTTAAATCTAATTTTTCAATCATTAGTTTAATAAGTTAACTTATATATATATACTGAAAATATCATTCAAAGAATGTTTATATTATCAATTAGTTACCATTGTTGGTTAGTCATAATTATTGTAACATGCAATCTACCTTATATTGTGTGTTACCGATCGATCACCCTCTTTTATGGACAATTATTGTAGTTATCATTTAGATAACTTAATTGTATATATAAATAAGATTTGCATTGTTGCGGATAGAAGTTAAACTATTATTATAAATAGTCGGCTCAGAATCATAAGTATAATTCACTAGTTAATTTTATATCTTAAATTTTCCATCTGCATTAGCTTTGTAAATAAAGTTACCCGGTACTTATGCTGGTGAAACGTAATAAGTATATGATAGAATAGTAGAAATGCGCAAAACTAACATGAACAATATAATTGTAATAGAAATTATCTTAAACTTCATGTCTAGTCAAATATCATCTCATAAAAGAAAATGCATGCATGAAGTATTTTTATTATATTTCAAATTGATGAACTCGAATACTTCTGATACAAAAATCAAAATCTGCAGCTACTAGCAGGGCTACTGGGAGTAGAATCAGGTCAAGACGCAGTTCTGAGAGCGTTACTCTACGAGCGAGGAAGAGAGAATGTGGAACCCTACGGGATAACGGTAGCAGAGTGTACAAACCGGTTATCAGAGCTGAGAAACAAGCTAGGACACCATGGATTGAAAGATGAAGGACTCAAAGTGAAACCAATAGTAGGTGCTGAAGGGAAGATACGAGGAAATATATTAGCAGGAGATAAATACTCGCTTTCCTACGATAGAACGCCAGAGGAAATACTGCGAATAGTGTACGGAAGTGGAAATGAGAATAAACCAGGAGGATTTTACCCAAAAGGAGCAGATGGCCGAATTGCAAAATCCTTTCTTGGAGTTGGAGGGAATTAAACATTAGGAAATTAATGAAAAGTTTGTTTCCTACGTGCAGAAAAATGCATAATAAAGTGAGCGAAAGCTTAGTACTAGGAAAAAGGAGAAATTATACATGAATAAATGTGTTTTTTTGGGAGAGATGGCAGAGCTTATTGGACATTTGTGCTTAGTATTTTCTGACTTTTATGAGGAATCATGTGTATGTTTATGTTAATTCATTAGATTTCATCTTATGTATGATGATATTAACCAAAAAAGGTTTCAAATATGAAATGGGAAGATACCATGTTAGAAGGACAATGATCAATTGTCACCACCCAACATTAACCCGTCGTGATGGCGTCTATCATAGTACTAGACAAGCCAACTACTCAGACATTTCCAACATTCTAAAGATTTGAAAGATACGTATACAGTTTAATTAAATGACAATCCTTTAAAGACAGAATAGGAAGTCATAACTAAATACAAGAATATCTCCCAAAACCGGGGCGTCAACGAGTACATGAGCATTTACATATAAAGATATAGTTTGGTACACCGTCTAGGAAATACAATTGAAACTTAAAATGAAAGATAAGGGTGGAGGGTCAAGGTCTGCGAACGCCAAGCAACTACCTCGATGATCTCCAAAGGCCCAGACTCCGCAACTCAGCAACCGGCATGACCGGAAGCACCTGGATCCGCACACGGGGTTCAGGGTGTAGCGTGAGTACAACCAATTCAATAAGTAACAAATCTAACCTTTGTCCTGAAAGTAGTGACTAACTCAGCATGTACAGTTAAATATAGAAATAACAATACATAAATGTAGGCATGCTTTGAACTTCAACAGTTAAACTCAATACAAGTAAGACAAATCAATTTTGAATGATATGAGAAATATGACCTCTCTACATCTACATGCCAATGCACACGTTGTATGTGATACACCATGCTAAAATTATCGTGTACTCACATCAGAATACTCAATCACCCAGTACTGTATATGGCCAATACAGCCCAAGGAAAATCCATCCCCAAATGTAAATAATTCGGGCAAGATCTATCCCTCAATATAAATCAATTGCGCTCACTGGGGGTGTACAGACTTCGGAGGAGATCCTTCAGCCCAAGCGCTATAATAAGCCAGATCCAGGCATAAATAGATAAAGAATGCTACGGCGTGCAACCCGATCCCATAAATATCACTCACAATTACTCCCTCAGCCTCACTCAGTCATCAATCTCTCCAGCCTCTCGGTCTAACAATGTCACGAAACTAGCCCAAATGATGATATGATGTATCAATAAATAGCAACTGAGACTGATATATGATATGCAATGAATAAATATGACTGATTACGAAATTTCAATTTAATCATTAAGTCAATAGCAAGGAGCGCCCACTATGGGTCCCAACAGTACCCGCATATAGCCTAAACATGAGTCCACACATGAACCACAACTCAAGTATTCTAAAACATAGAATACAACAAGAATGTTTAGATAAAATGGCTACGTAGCGCCAGGGAATGACTAAATCACATCTTCTAAGGTGCACGCCCGTCACTTAGCATGCACGTCACCTCAACGTTTGTCACATAGTACGTAATTTGGGGTTTATACCCTCAGAACCAAGTTTAGAAGTGTTACTTATCTCAAACCGCACAAATTCCTACTCCGACAAGCCCTTGCCATGCAAAATGGCCTCTGAATGCCTTGAATTTAACCACAAGTAGTACAATACAATCAATACGAGCTAAAGGAATAAATTCCATAAACAAAATACTAAGCTCTTAATCAAAAAACAAAAAGTCAATTCAAGAGTTGGCCCTCGGGTCCACGTCTCGAAATTCGATAAAAATCACAAAATCGGAAGGCCCAATCAACCATGAGTCCAACCATACCAACTTTACCCAAATCCGACACCAAATTGTCACTCAAATCCCCAAATTAAACTCTCCAAATCCCTAGCCTCAAACTCCCAAATTCCACCACAAATACTCACAAACTAGGTAAGAAATTGAATAGGGATACAAGATTATCGAATAAAAGTGAGCACAAATGGCTTACCTCAAGAAACCCTTCAAAAATCCTCTCAAAATCGCCTTATCCCGAGCTTGAAATGTTAAAAATGGCGAAAGTCTCGGAACCCTCGTTTTTAATACACTGCCCAGGCCTTCTCGCACCTACGACCAAATATCCGCACCTGCATAACCCCTTTTGCGGAAACTCTCCGCTTCTATGGAAGTCACTTAAATACCCAAGGCCCGCACCTGTGCTCCAGGTTCCGCACCTGCGGAAGCACATCTGCGGCCCATGATCTGCATATGTGAAAACAGTCTACGCCCCTCTTCTCCGCATCTGCGGAGCCTTGCTCGCACCTGCGGGCTCACAGATGAGGATTACCCCTCATACCTGTATCCTAGCCCTGGCCAGCCCATCTCTGCACCTGCGCAACACAAACTGCACCTGCAGCCAAGACCCTCGCGGGTGCGATCACACCAGAAGTCTCCCAATTCAGCGATCTCCTAAGTCCTATTTTCAATCCGATAACTATCGAAATCAACCTGAGACCCGCGTGACCTCAACCAATTATACCAACAAGTGCTAAAATACGATACGAGCTTAGTCGAGCCCTCAAATTACACAAAGATCATGAAAAACACGAATCACACTCCAATTTAAGCCTATTGGAGCTAAGGAATTCGAACTTCTACAAACGACGCCAAAACCAATCAAATCACGTCCGATTTACCCCAAATTGTGCACACAAGATAAAAATGACACCAAGGACCTACTCCAACTGCCCGAACCCCAATCTGAGCCCTATAACCACAAAGTCCACTGTCGATCAAATTTCTAATTTTTTGACTTTTTGCCATTTCAAGCCTAATTCAACTACGGACCTCCAAATCACAACCTCGTCAAGCTTCTAAGTCCAAAATCACCCAACGGAGCTAATGGAACCATCAAAACTCCATTCTGGAGTTATTTAGTCATAAGTCAATATCTGGCTAACCTTTCTAAGCTAAGCTCCCAGCCTTGAGACTAAGTGTCTCATCTCATTCGGAAACCTCTCTAAACCTGAACCAACTACCCCAACAAGTCACTTAACAACTATAAAGCAAAAAATGAGCAGTATACGGGGGATCAGGGCAACAAGTCTAATACCAACTAGTCACGATTCGGAATTCCCACCTTCGGGATCGTGATGGCGCCTACATTTCACTTGCTAGGCAAGCTAACGTTAGAGAATTTTAAAATCAACTTCAGTACACTTTTATTAAGAATTAATTAAGCTAAATAGAAGCTATAATAGAGTTTGCAGAATATTATAAAAAACTTTAATATTTACTACCACCCGGATATGGAGTCACAATTCACGAACATCTAGGATTTAGTACAAATAAATGTTTGAAAGGAATACAACTGTTTGAGTGAAAGAAATAGTAATAAACCAAAAGATAGACGGGGGCTTCAAGGTCTGCGAACGCCGACAGATCTTCCTTTCTAAATCCCCAATTTACCAAATCCCTAATTTCTACCCAAAAACTGCTAATTCCACCATGAGAACTTTAGATTTTAGGTTGAAATCAAAGGAAAAGTAGTTAAAAAGTTGTCACGGCCCAATTCCCGAACCCGGTCGTGATGGCGCCTCTCGTGAAGACAAGGCCAGCCAACAAACCCATATCGCCTTTTCAAAAATAATTAAACATTAATAAACAGTTTTAAAAAAATAATTTAATGATATAACTAAGGGAAGCACAACCCGACACAGCCCTAATCGGGGTTTCACAAGTCACGAGCATCTATAAGAATGTAATTACATTTACAAGTCTAGAAATACACTAAACACGAATAATGAGTAACATAGAAAGAAACGGTGCTGCGAATGCTGGCAGTCACCTCGCTAAACTACTACAGCTCTGCCTCCAAACAGCCAATACCCGCTACCGGGTGAATAAATACCTGCAACTGCACACGTGGTGCAGGGAGTAAAGTGATTACTCGAACTCGGTGAGTAATAAAGGTAAATAACAACTGAGCAGTAAGAAATCACGTAAAGCAACCAATATGCTGTATAGAAGTAGGGTACAATCCTTTGAGAAAACAGTGAAGCTGTGAAATCTTTAAATCTCAGTTTAAATCTCCTTTGAAAATAGTCTTTTCAACAGTTGCAAAATAATTTCAAAACAATTGGTGCCGATCTGCACAGAAATCCGCCCCTCGGGCACAAATACCACAGTATAACAAGTAAAGACAAGTAAGTATGGAAGATGAGCACATAAAAGCTCGCCCCTCGGGAAATATCTCAAAGCAGTACCAGCCCCTCGGGCTCCCTCACAGTCACTCATATCAGCCCCTCGGGCTCACTCTCAGAAACACTCGTATCAGCCCCTCGGTCTCAGTATCAATCACTCAGCATAATAGGTACCCGCGCTCACTGTGGGTGTGCAGACTCCGGAGGGGCCCCTTACGGCCCAAGCGCTATATCAACATAAGGCCTGAAAGTCTTCTCACATCACTCATAAGTCCTGAAAGCCTCCTCACATCACTCACAGGGCCTGAAAGCCTCCTCACGTCACTCAAGCCACCTCGTGGCATATAAATGTATCTCAGGCCCTCGGCCTCATATCACTCAGCATATCCTCACATATGGCTCTCGGCCTCACTCAGTCCAAAAATCATCACAAGACCCTCGGGCATTTGTAAAACAGTAGTTCTCAGCCCAAAATATCATTTAGAAATATCATTTAAGTTTCAAATCTGTGTAAAATAGGATGAGTTTGTAAAACAGTGGATATCAACAGGACTGAGTTCGAATAATGCATCAAAACAGTGAGGAAGCAGTGATAAAAATCCCCGAAGGGTTCAGATAATTGGCATGAAGCCTAAATATGGCAATCGGCCCAAATCATGATAATAACAAATAAGTTTCAGTCAAATACGCGGTAAAATCATCAATCAGGATGGACCAAGTCACAATCCCTCATCGATGCTCTACCCCGCTCTCGCTATCCGGCATGCAAGTCACCTCAATATAGCACTACGGTGTGCATTTCGGGGTTTCAAACCCTCAGGATATCATTTACAATCATTACTCACCTCGAATCGGAAAAATCTCTAGCTCGCGATGCCTTTGCCCCTCAAATCGGCCTCCACGCGCGTCGAATATATCCAAAACCAGAACGAATACGTCACAATATGCCAATGGAACAATACCCAATAGAAAACAATCGAAAATTA